GTTAGAAGGAAACTTTCTCAACCTAATAAAGGGCATCTACTAAAAACCAACTGTTTTAGATTATGCTTAATGTATTAGATTATGCTTAATGGTAAAAGATAAATGCTTTACGCCCACCTCCCGCCAAGATCAGGACCAGGCCGGGAACAGTGGCTCAAGCCTGTAATCCCAGCACTTTGGGAGGCCGAGATGGGCGGATCATGAGGTCAGGAGATCGAGACCATCCTGGCTAATATGGTGAAACCCCGTCTCTACTAAAAGAAATACAAAAAAACTAGCTGGGCGTGGTGGCGGGCGCCTGTAGTCCCAGCTACTCAGGAGGCTGAGGCAGGAGAATGGTGTAAACCCGGGAGGCGGAGCTTGCAGTGAGCTGAGATCTGGCCACTGCACTCCAGCGTTGGCGACAGAGCGAGACTCCATCTCAAAAAAAAAAAAAAAAAAAAAAAGATCAGGAACAAGGGAAGGATGTGTGCTCTTACTTCTTCCATTTAACACTGTCCAGGTCGAGTACCCTTTATCCAAAATACTTGGGACCAGAAGTGTTTCAGACTTTAAAGTCTTTCAGATTTTGGAATACTTGCATTATATTTACCAGCTGAGCATCCTAATATGAGAATCAAAAATTCTAGAGCATTTCCTTTGAGCTTTGTTGACTTTCAAAAAAGACTTTGTTGACACTCCAAAAACTCAGCATTTCAGAATTTTGATTTGGGATTTTCAACCTGTACTGGAGGTTCTACACAGCGCAATCAGACAAGAAAAAGAAACGTCATCCAGATTGGAAAATGGCTTTTATTCTTAGATGATATCATCTTATATGTAGAAAATCCTACAGATTCCACCCAAAAACCATTAGAACTAATAGGGCCGCAGTATATAAGATCAACATATAAAAACCAATTGTATTTCTATAAGCAAGCAATAGTCAATCGAAAGATAAAACCAGAACACAATTCTATTTGTAATAGCATCAAAAATATATGCAATTAGGAATAAATTTAACAGTAACAGTGCAAGACCTGTACACCAAAATTACGAAGGAAAACGGTGCTAGGACAACTAAAAACACATGTGCAAAAAGATGAACCCTGACCTGACACCCAAAATTAACTCAAAATGGATCAGACTTATATTTAAGAGATAAAACAATAAATTTTTTTTAGAGCAAAACATGAGAAAATATTCCCCCAAGAGTCTGAGTTAGGCAAAGATTTCTTCGATACTATTTCAAAACCAAGATAAATCGAACCCCATCAAAATAAAAAACTACTGCATTTTAAAAGACAACATTTTAAAAATGAAAAAAAGGGACCAGCCTGGCCAGCATGGTTAAACCTCATCTCTACTAAAAATAAAAAATTAGCTGGGCATGGTGGCACGTGCCTGCATTCCCAGCTACACAGGAGACTGAGGCAAGAGAATCTCTTGAACCGGGAGGCAGAAGTTGGAGTGAGCCAAGATCATGCCACTGCATTCCAACCTGGGCCACAGAGTGAAACTCATCTCAAAAAAATAAATAAAAGAAAGAAAAAAAGGAGCCAGGAACAGTAGCTCACACCTGTAATCCTAGTGCTTTCAGAGGCCAAGACAAGAGGATCACTGGAGGCCCAGAGTTCAAGACACCCTGACCAACATAGCAAGACTTAGTTTCTACAAAAAAACATTATTTTAATTAGCCAGGTGTGGTGGTGTGTGCTTATAGTACCAGCTACTTGGGATGCTGGAGTGGAAAGATCCTTTGAGCCCAAGAGTTTGAGGTTACAGTGGGCTATGATAGCACCACTGCATTCCAGTCTGGGCAACAGAGCAAGACCCTGTCTCAAACAATAAAAATGGGGGTGGGGAATAGAACCCAAAAAGGTTTGTTTTTAGTCTGAACTTTAAAAAATCAGTAATGAAAAACCACGCCACTCAGTAAGTGATTTTTAAATAAATAATAGGAAAAATTACTAAACAGGTCACTGATTTTGTTAGACGATACTAACACATATCTGCCTACTGGGACAAAGTGTAAAAATGACAAGATGGGGAAAAGATCCACAAGAGATACAGGCTGGTATGCGCATTCAAACACTAGCTTTGTGGTTGGTATCATTAAGCAACATTCATTAAGACATGCTGAGTTTTAAGGGGTGAAGAGTTCTTTTGAGTATTCAACACAATGAATATAAAATGCTTAGTATGGCTGCTCGTCACTGCTGATGGCTGGTGGCAGCAGTGAAGTAGTATTAACCACAGAAGCTATATTAGGTGTGGGCCAGAAAGAAATGTTAAGTTTCTTATACTAAAACGTCTTTAAGGCCTCTTTATGGAGATCGTTAGAAACCAAGTAGCACACCTCTATGTTCTCAAGGAAACAGACTGAGCTGAGGCAAAGCTGTACTAATTGAGACAAAGAGTTCCTCAGGAATGGCATATACGAAACATATACTACACATAACACAAGTCTAATGCAAATGTACACGAAGAAACTGCGTAAACAAGGTGAATATTTCCAAGGAGAAGTTATGTTAAACATAAAACTAGGCAGGCAACAAGTCATTTGACAAGAAATAACTCACACTAATAGTTATTTCCTTCTTCAAAGGGAAAACATGAATTAAGAGGTAGTATTACATTAAATTGCTGATACTTTAGAAAGGAAAGGTATTATGCATGAAAGTAACACTTCTGGCTCCATTTCCACGCACCAAGGAACCACAGCTTTTTATTTGATTTTATCTTAACTTATTTTGAAACAGGGTCTTACTCTGTTGCTCAGGCTGGAGTGCAGTGGCATGATCTCAGCTCACTGCAGCCTGTCTTCCAGGTTCAAGCAATTCTTCCACCTCAGCCTCGCAAGTAGATAGGACTACAGGCATGCGCCACCATGCCTGGCTAATTTTTGTATTTTTTGGTAGAGGTGGAGTTTCACTATGTTGGCCAGGCTGGTCTTGAACTCCTGACCTCAAGTGATCTGCCTACCTCGGCCTCCCAAAGTGCTGGGCTTACAGATGTGAGCCACCATGCCCGGCCCATTTATTTTTATAAATAAAGTTTTATTAGAAGATAGCTACATATTCACTCATTTACATTTTGTCTGTGGTTGCTTTCACACTTCCAACAGCAGAGTAGAATATTCACTACAGACACCATCTGGCCTATAAAACCTAAAACATTTACTATCTGGTTCTTTATGAAAAAAATTTTAGCAGGTTCAGGTTGTTTAGTACATAGTATGGGATGACATAGTTCACCTGTTTTTAAACCAAGAAATTAAGATATATATTTCTGGATTTGATAATGGACTGGTTCAAGATACTCTGAGTATATCATGTGACAGGATATACACTGAAACTGCATGCTTTGGAGTCATATATGCTTGATTCTAAACCTGTTCAAATCCAAGATGATCTAGGCTAGGCAAGATATTTAAGTCCTCAGACATGAAATAATACCTATACCTTCCAGGGTTGTATGTACAGGACCCAAAACCATTAACACCAGCAGGTAAATGCCAGGTCAATTAACATTGGTTCCTTCCTTCTAGCCATATATCAAACTGGGAGTCTGACACCCCTCTCCAGATTTTGCATTAACCCCCAGTCTTTAAAGCCAGGCACTGTGTCACTAGGAAACACTGTTGGGGAATGTACCCCATCCCCCTGTCTACTTACTATGGACCCACTAATCAGGAAAGTCACAGTAACTTTTATAAAGTGATGTTCATATATAACCTGAGAAAATGAGTTCTACAACTACAGTTCTTACTGTATAAAACTTCACGATACGCACACACATGCCAATGTGTATATATAAACATAGTTTTGATTGAAACTCGCCTCTTTCAAACTCAAAGTTGTCACTCTTAGGTCTAGAATAATAAGTCTATTACGCTACCTACTTCAGACTTCTCTTGAATCCTATAAATCACTTTCTAGTCTGCCTATCCAAATGAAGGTATCCTGTTTGTTTTTAGTCAGTTCTCACTTCTGAGTCCATGAAGCCACTTTTAATCTCGCTGGTTAAAAACAGAATCTTCTTGGTAAAGTGGCCACACATGCTGATTTGCCCACGACAGTCCTGATTTAGGCCTATCATCACTAAGTAATTATTCATAGCACCCTCTTCCACTCACAAAAGTGTTATGGTTAGCATGATACATTATATGGTGACTCTACATCTGGGACTCAATTTTCCCCATCTAGCAAATAAATCAGTACTTCAAACTTAATACGTAACTGTGGGAGAGAAGTATGCACCATGTTTGAGATAAGAAAATATCTCCCATGTCCTGAAAGATTTAGAGATTTGCCACCCACCCCCCCAAAAAAAAAAAAAAAAAAAAAAAAAAAAAAGGTAATATAATTTTCTTTTCATTCTTATAGCCTGCTGCTTGGGATCCTCTTTTTCTTCCCCTACTTTCCAGACTCTAGATGGTAATATTTTAAAATCCCATGCATTAAAACAACCTAAATATTTAACAGGGAAATATACATTTCCTCATTAGCATACTGTATAATTTGAGAGTTTATATTTACAAATATTTTAAAATATGGCAAAATTTTAAAAATCAAATGCTTTTTGTGAAAAAGCAAGATATTATATGTACATATAGCAGAGGGGTAACTTTGAAAAGAAATAAGGCAAAATATTAATTGTGGTGGTATTGCAGGTGGTGATACTAGGTGATTAAATTCTCTGTGTTTCCTAGCTTCACTGAAATGAACCTGTGTTTATATTGTTTACATGGAAATACTCTCACAGGTAGCCAAAGAATAAAATGTTCATACTAAAGCTAACTGAATATACAGGGAATGTACCCAACTATAGTACAGCCAAAACTGCTACACTATCTATAGGTACAGCCTGAATAACATGAGGTATTTACGGAAGGCACAGAATACCCAGGACACTTCTAGTATAAAGGGACTGTCCTTTGCTTATGCAAAGTTCTTGTAATGTCATCGGTGGCAAGAGAGTTCTAGAGTTCAAGGTGGTGTTAGAGTAATGGTTCTTACCCAGGTTTAAGCTTGAAGAGGATCCATGTGAAGAGAGGGAAGGAGGTGGTGTCTGTGAATGTCCTGGTCCCTGACTAGGGAGAGGCATGCCCACGGGTCCAGGAGAGGAGGAAAAGCTAAGGCCGTTATAAAAACTGTGTCCAATGGGGGTCAAGCTGCTCGATGTCCTCTTATAAAGGTCACTGCTGCCAGTCAGGGAGTCACGGCGGGAGCCACTGCCAGTGTTGGAGTTTGCAACTAAAATGGAATTAAAACAATGCAGATAAGAACAGGCCTGTTCTTCGAAGAACAAGCCCAGTGACCTGTTCCTAACACTTTGATCCAGACTCCTTACCACCGCAAATTTGTCAGCAGAGACAGCCTAACTGTTAATGTAGCAGTACTAGGGGCAGATAAGTAATAAAGAGGACATGGCTCAGGTTAACATGACCATCAAATGTATGCCAAATTTACCTTCCTATGGGGTGTTGTATATTATAGGATAAGGGAGGGTTAAAAAGCTCTGACGGCCACATGAGCTATGGAAAAGGTGGAAGAAAATGGACTAGAAGAATGCCTTTCATCAATTGAAAAGGTTCAAGTAGAAAAATGGGATACAGAAAAAAGATTTGTAAATGGGCTACTGCCCCACTACACAAGACTTCTATATTGAAAGACTGTTTTCTCAGTGGGTTCAATCTAGAGTCAATGCTGCCCTCAATTCCAATTAAGATAATTTCTTTCACACATGCCCTTCTATTTAGGGATCACTTTTGTTTTTTATAATCTCTGCAATTATCCCATTATTCACCATACTACACTCCTGCTTTTTTCATCAAAACATTAAAAATATCTTGGTCTAATATCCTTCCTCCTAATTTTCCACACGTCTACCTTATATTCTACTCAGAAGACTGAAGAAAACTTGTAACTCTTTAAGGCCTGCAGGCCAAGAACTCAGCTCAGTCTCAATTGTGGAGTATTTCAGCTCTGCTATCTTTAGTAAGTCCTCCTCCCTCAGTTTTTGATAACAATTTCTATAGTTCCCTCCATATTTTCCCCAATTATAGCAAAAATCTTCCCTAGATTTCAAATCCCTGAAAGAAACTGATTAAGTAAGTAGCCACATGAGCATGGATCGAAATAGGTCCCATCTGTATAACTTGATTTCAATAGTCTATCATCTCACAGATTATGTGGGATGGCTGGATTCCCACAAGGCTTGGTCCAGATCTGCCTGTGGTTCCATGCATTGCCAGTATTCCAGAAGGATTGTAAAAATAATTAAAATTCAGTCTTAAGAGCATATCAGTCTAATTTCTACCTGCTGTTCCAAACCCTCCAAGGGCGGATCCCAGGGTGGCGCCGAGAGAACTGCTACTTCCGAATCCCAAGGATGTGTTGGCAGGCTGGGCAGAGCCCTGGGAGAAGAGGGAGCTGCTCTGTGAATTGCTGTTCAGAGAGTTGTTGCCGTAGAAAGAACTGGATGCCAGGTTGTTATTGGGCTGCTGCTGAGGCTGGGGCTGAGGCTGCTGTGTTCCTAAAGGGCGAAATGGTCCATTTGTTGTTCCAGCAAGACCACCAGCTGCTCCATTTGCTGAAGCTGCGGCTGCTGCAACAGCTATGAAGAAGAAAGCAAACCGTTTGGCTATGAAAGAGACTGGCCACATTTCCAAACTACATTTTTATCTTTTTTCAGAAAACCTTTTAATGCTGTCTATCTTTTCAAAACAGACACAAACCATACAAATGTGTCTTTGATCCCTTCATATGAAGCTTCTATTTTCTGTTTCTACTTTCAATTTGAACTCAAAATACCACTAGAACAAGTTCACTATGCTGGTAGCTTTAAAGAGACTACAGATTAAAAGGGGTATAAACATCCAATGTATCCATCAAATACAATTACTTCCTAAAATCTTAAATTCCATAAATATCTATGTTGAGGGTTTCTTCTAGAACCATGTAATGCATATACATCCTTCAAGTTCCTATTTTAGCACACTGCTGTCTTCTAGATGTTCCTGTTATTGTTCCTAATTAAAAAAAAAAAAAAAAAAACATATAAACACTTAAAGTAAAAAACTATTACTCCTCCCAACAAAATGTATTATTCTGTCACTTCTCACTACTGTTTCCCACTTCCTCCATTCCTGCCCCATGGCAAAAAACAACCCCTCCTCTAAAATTATCTTAAAATAATGACTTGGATTTCTGTGAAATCAGCCTTGGATTTCTGCCAACAAAGCCATTTTGTGTGAGTAATGCAACTTCTATGTTCTCAGTGGAACCAGACCTTGCTTCTAACCAGCTGGCACATGCCACCCCTCCCAACAAAAAGGAGAATCCACCAAGGTCACTTATTGCTTCTGATCTCTTTTTGAAACATTACAGGGTAAAACTGATATACTGAGAATTGCCAAAAGTGTATTTCAACATACTTTAAGAATATCACTATCAATCGCCACTTTTAGATCTCTGGCAGGAGTCCACTCAGATGTGCGCTCACCTGCTTGTGCAGCTGAGGAACTAATGATGACTGGGGCAGGAGCTACAAGTCGAACAGGAGCTCCAAGACCATTTCTCGCGCCTGCATTCACTACAAGGGCACCAGTTTGGTCATAGTAAGCAGCAGGAGCCAACACCGGATAACCTACGAATATCAAACCAACAGAGAAATGTGTATGTTAAACAAACAAGTATCTCCTGGGCACCAACATATTGTCAATAATCATAAACTCAGCTTTGGGGTTGAATTGACCTAGATTTATATACTGGTTCCATCACTTAAATAGTTGAATAAACAAATAAAAGAGGCTACAAATGATTATAAAAATCATAGTACTTTCATACTACATAATAATCTAAGAACAAATATCCCGCAAAATAGCAGGAAAAACCTAGACAGGCTTTAAATAACATGATCTTTCAATACTATGTGAAACAGAATCTCCATATCCCAGTTTAAGCCATATGAAAAACAGCAGGTGACTTCCTAAGAACACACAAAGGCTTAACAACTAAAAAACAAATGAAACAGGTTAAAGTTATTTATTGAATTCATAAATGGCTCAGTTAAATTGGCTATGCTCTATGATCAGCAAAGGTCCATAAAAATCCACTGACATCTCTCAAAGACTTGTTTCATATGTAGAACATGAAACTACATTTAATCCCATGCAAAGCACCAAACCCAGCTGACAGTGAACCAAAAACAACATATATTCAAGATATGTCTATATAAACACGTATCTCAGAGGTAGGGAGCTAAAAAGAACCCCTACTAATGGTTTAAGAGAAACCTTAAAAATGTAAGGGATGACCCTATCAAGGTGTACCAGAAATTTCTCGCTAATCATGCTGTTCAAAAACATCAACATAAAGACTAAGCCTTGTAAACTAGCTTGGCCACTCCATCTACCACTAATTCTGAGACAGAAAACAGATAACCCACCAAGGAAAAACCACATATTCCAAGCTGTATGGACATTTAGATACCTCCAATACGACTTAAGACTGGCTAAGAACAATGCACTCATCAGTGAACTATAGTCTAAGTGAGGGCAAATGTATATCATCCTTGCCAGTCCCCAAATCATGACAAGCCTAAGCAAGGTGAAAGCACTGCTCATTTCCCTCTGTAATCACCTCAAACGTGCAGCCTTTTTCCCTGCCAAAGTATTAGGAATAACAATGCAGCCGCACCTGGCATGCCTGCTGCCAGACCTTGTCCAAATGCAAGGGCAGAATTCACTGCTGCAGCTGCCACAAGGGGATCTGTTTGCTGTCCCTGCTGGTTCTGGTTTGGGGTCAAAGGACGTTGGCTGGCTCCTCCACGGAGAACCTGGGAAGAGAAGACAAAAATAACCACTTTCTTTTCATTGGAGAAGACCTACCATATGCTCAGGTTGGATCAACTTTTAAAACTTAATTGTAAAACATTTTCCCTATAATGGTTTTTATATGTCACAGCTGTTAGGGTATAAATTCAATTAGTAACATTTCATATAGTGGAATTTCATTCTACCATTCTTACTTTAAACACATTACCCTTTATAAGCAGCAAAAAGCACAAAAAAGTGATGATTCATTCATTCAAACATTTTATCTCATCTGCCTCATAAAGTTCTTGTGATAATTAAGTTAAAAGATGAATTTGAAACATCTGGCATCAGCAAGTGGTAATGTTATCAAATATTTAATGCCTACCAAGTGGCAAATGGGCAAGTGAGACAGAGCAATCAACAAGACCGACAAAGCCCCTGTCCTCATGGAGTTTTTATTTTAATGAATGAGATAGACAATAAACCATACTATATAATGTCAGTGCTCTGACAAAAAGTGGGTAAAGAAAAAAAAAATGTAACAGGCCAGTCATGGTGGCTCACGCCTGTAATCCTAGGACTTCGGGAGGCCAAGGCAGGTGGACCACCGGAGGTCAGGAGTTCGAGACCAGTCTGGCCAACATGGTAAAACCCCGTCTCTACTAAAAATACAAAAATTAGCCAGGCATGGTGGCAGGCGCCTATAATCCCAACTACTGGAGAGGCTGATGCAGGAGAATCACTTGAACCTGGGAGGCGGAGGTTGCAGTGAGCTGAGATCAAGCCACTTCGCTCTAGCCTGGGGGAAAGAGCAAAACTCCATCTCAAAAAACAAAAAAAGAAAAAAAAAGAGTATTAATGGTGGGGGGAAGGGGTTCCAGACAGGATGACCAGGGGTAATTTACCCACATATTTAAAGTTAACTGAGTCTCACATGTACACAAAAGATGGAATGAGAATATTTCCTCTTTAACGCTAATCTATTTATTAAGGTCCACATGGCCCCAAATGAGTTCACCAGATTTGATTTGGTAGGGCTCTCACCTGACTATTTCTATTTCCCTCTCACAAATTCCACACACATACGCATTAGTCAAGTTCAGTGCAGAATACCAGTTATGCCACTGTGATAAAGGATCTACCTTTTTGGGGCGGGGGTTGGGGCAGGGAAGAGACAGGGCCATGCTCTGCTGCTCAGGCTGGAGTGCAGTGTGACACCATCTCAGCTCACAGTAACCTCTGCCTCCCAGGATCAAGAGATGCTCCCACCTCTCCTGAGCAGCTGGTACTACAGGTGTGCACCACCACACCTAGCTAATTTTTCTATTTTTTTGTAGAGACAGGGTCTCACCATATTGTTAAGGCTAATCTCTAACTCCTGGGTGCAAGCAATCCACCTGCCTTGGCCTCCCAAAATGTTGGGATTACAAGTGTGAAGCCACTAAGCCCAGTCAAAGATCTACTTTTTATTAATAAAACATAGACATCAAAATGCTAGCAATCATTATTATTCTGAATGATGTGAAGAATCTATCTCACAAGATCTACACACTCCAGAAAGCAAAAATGCAAAACCCACAAACCAAGGCTAAAATTACTAAAGTTCCTAACAATGTGTTTTGCCATATTGTCAAGTGCACAGTTCTTATCAGACCACTTTCAATTTCACTGTGTTATTTATAAAAGTTGGACATATGGTCAAGAAAATGGGTACAAATTATTATTGGTACCATTGGTAAAAAAAAAAAAAAAAAAAGCAAAAAGAGAAACAACACTAATAACCAATTAAATATTTGTTAAGTGGGTATAAGGTGACCAACACTGTCCACACTGGCAAGAAGAGATGGATGGACACTTATTTTGCCCAATCTTTTACTTCTATATCAGTAATAAGTAAGAATTAACAAATGATCTTGCAGATTTGCTGGAAATATCTGAAATAATGTCTTTAAGCCACACTGATACCTAGGAGATAATCAATAACCAATAGCAAATCACTATTATCAAGATATTATATAATTGGTTTCTGACCTAAAGAATCTAACCAACTTTATAAGAGAAAGTGTGTTTCAAGCTACATAGACAGAAGAGTCTGGGGACGGTACAGGTGAGTTTTGCCAAATACTTAGAATTTACACACCCAGTAACTCAAAAGAGATCTCACTCTAGGATAAGTAAATAGCAAGCACAGAAATACGGCAAATGCTAATAGTTCAAAATTGCTGAAGATTTTAAAAAACAATGAAAGCACTACTTTCATAGAATATAAAGAAGTAAGTTTATGTTTGATTAGGTGTTCTTTGAAAGGACAGGAGTGATGGAGTGGACAAAGTACCTAAAGAAAGTAGTAGTCTAAGACTATTGATGAGTCTTGTAATAAGGAAGGAAAACAGTGTTAGCTTTTTGTTCACTCTCTAGAAATCTGTCCAGTACCCCTAACTATACATAAAGGTCCTTCAGTTACCTGCCAATATTCATATATTTTCATTTCATCAATAGCTGTCAAATCGATGATTTTACGGAAACAAAATGTACAGTTTCACAAGTAACGTTTTCAAGTCTAACAAAACCTACAAAATGACTGAATTTATAAAAACTATCCTGGAACAGTTAGCTTGCCTAGAATGCAACATATACTTTCTGATAAAATACAAGGCCAACAGCAAAGTTTAAAAAGAACCTCTCATTTTAATTACTATGACAAGGCAGTCTACCAAGAAAATCATATTTTCGAAACAATGGCTGCTAATTAAAAACTAATGCTAAAAACTTTTCCTTAGTAGGGTTTGACAGAACCTGAAGGGCATGACAGAAAACTGAAAAGTTAATGAATATTATGTCCATTTTATAACAAAAATATATGCATTTAGAGAACCCACCCAACTTGCCCTAGTTGTAGCTAGTTAACGATAGAAGAAGCACAAGATCTCAGATTTTCTTTAAATCAAGACATCACAATATGGTCAGGAAACAAGTTATCAAGACATGGGCTTATATTCAAATCTTAACAACTTTGTACTTGTGTGACTCTGGGCACACAAATTGTATTTCTTCAATTGGTTTCCTCTCAATTATGAAATTCTATTTCATAAAACGAGAAGTTGTACATCTATCATAATTAGTAAGAGAGACACAAATTACATGTAGAACACTTAATTCTGCACAGAAAGCTTTCCATTAACAGCAGTTATTAGTATTATTCATGTTCACTGTATTAGAGCTAATTTTAAAACATGGTAATTACTTTAGTCTTCCAAATGCATAATAATTTGGCAGCCATTTAAACAAAAAGATGATCACACAAAGAAATACAGACTTATCCACAAAAAGCAGTTATTAAGAAATTTATTTGCTAGGTGCAGTGGCTCACACTTGTAATCCCAGCACTCTGGGAGGCCAACACTTAAGGTCAGGAGTTTGGTATCAGCCTGGACAACATGGTAAAACCCCTTCACTACTAAAAATACAGAAACTAGCCAGGCGTGGTGGCACGTGTCTGTAATCCCAGATACTAGTGAGGCTGAGGCAGGAGAATCGCTTAAACCTGGGAGGCAGAGGTTGCAGTGAGCAAACATGGCACTACTGCACTCCAGCTTGGATGACAGAGCAAGATTACATCTCAAAAAAAAAAAAAAAAAAAAAAAAAGAAAGAAAGAAAGAAAGAAAGAAACTTATTTAAAAGGCCAGGCACAGTGACTCATGCCTGTAATCCCAGCACTTTGAGAGGCCGAGGCGGGTGGATCACTGAAGGTCAGGAGTTCGAGACCAGCCTGGCCAACATGGTGAAATCCCATCTCTACTAAAATACAAAAATTAGCCAGGTGTGGCAGCACACACCTCTAATCCCAGCTACTCAGGAGGCTGAGGCAGGAGAATCACGTGAACCCAGAAGGCGGAGGTTGCGGTGAGCTGAGAGCTCAGCGTACTCCAGCCTGGGCAATAGAACTAGACTCCATCTGAAAAAAAATCAAACAAAAAAAGAAATGTGGCCGGGCATGGTGGCTCACGCCTGTAATCCCAGCACTCCGGGAGGCTAAGACGGGTAGTTACCTGAGGTCAGGAGTTCGAGACCAGCCTGGCCAACGTGGTGAAACTCCGCCTCTACCAAAAATACAAAAATTAGCCAGGCATGGTGGCGCATGCCTGTAAAACCAGCTACTTGGGAGGTTGAGGCAGGAGAATCGCCTGAACCCTGGAGGCAGAGGTTGCAGTGAGTCAAGATGGCACCACTGCACTCCAGCTTGGGTGACAAAAGCAAAACTGCGTCTCAAAAGAAATTTTAACAGATCACTCATTCTGCCAACAAATTCTTAACTGAATTTCCTTATATATGGTATGAGAACGGCATCTGCTGCCAAGAAAATAATTTCATAGTGTCCAAATAACAGGCAGAATTTCAAGACCTGTTCTTCTTTCTTTCTATAATTGTGTGGAATCTAAAAAAAAAAAAAAAAAAAAAAAAATTAAACATACACCCACTAAGACTGATGTCAAGCAAAAAATTCTTGTTTGGATCATATAATATATTCATATATGAGCAGAGTGTTTTGTCTCAAATGACAGCTTTTATCTGACAATGCATATCGAAGCCTAAAAGGTGATTTCATTTGCTCCAGAAAAATTCCATTACTAGGAATTTTTTCCAAGGATAAACTTACGTAAAGGACGTTAATCAGTCTCATTTAAAACACCAAAATACTGATATAAATGAAATATCAAATATAACAGACTAGTCAAAGTATCCTTTGATGGATTTAAATGTACCTAGTAAAAATGTCATTTAAAAGAACACAAAATAACATAGTAAAGTATGAAATCAGAATGGAAAACCACGTGGACAGAATGACAATTTTGTAAAATATTAAATAGTAAGGCTAAAATAACAGATACCAAACATATTAGCAGTGGTTTTCTGACATAAGGATTTAAGGTAATTTTTTTGTTTCAAGTTTTCTAGTTTACCACAGTTTCTATCAATAAAGAGGTGTGACTGGCCGGGCGTGCTGGCTCACGCATGCAATCCCAGCACTTTGGGAGGCCCAGGCGGGTGGATCATGAAGTCAGGAGTTTGAGACCAGCCTGACCAACATGGTGAAACCCCGTCTCTACTAAGAAGAAAATTAGCTGGGCATGGTGGAGTGTGCCTATAATCCCAGTTACTCAGGAGGTGAAGGCAAGAGAATTGCTTGAATCCAGGATGCGGAGACTGCAGTGAGCCGAGATTGCACCACAGCATTCCAGCCTGGGCAACAGAGCGAGACTCCCTCTCAAAAAAAAAAAAAAAAAAAAAAAAAAAGAGGTGTTATTCTAGCAATCAAGGAGGAAATGACCTGTGTAAAAAAGAAAGAAAGAAAGAAAGAAAGAAAGATGTAGTTTTGCAGTTTACTGTCCTTTCTCAACTCAAATAAAAAGCTAACACAGATATGACAGGTTTAAGATTTACACCTAATCCAATAAGTACTATAAATAAGCAGTCTAAAAATCTAGTACCCCTGCTTTGGTGTCAAGCCCCTTGAAAAACCCTGAAATGATCTGAAAGTGGTGCTTAGCAAGCCACTACAGTATGGCAGAACAAAATTTTACTATAACTTTGAAGATCCACTTTGCCACTTGCAGCTAAGCAATTTCCCTGTAGGTGAATTGATGAGTATCATTACCCCACCTAGGTACGATAGTGTCTAACATATAAAAGACATTCCATAAGAGTCGTTAAATCTGAGCCTGAACTCAGACACATACACACACACAAGAGGAAATTGATGCATTCACAGTGCTTTTCTATTAGGTGCAATATCACCTATTAATTACCCACAATACTACAATTCCCACTTAGAAGAGGTAAATTTTGTCTACATTTACCTGCTGCTGTCCTTGCTGAGCCTGTGGGGTGGTCTGTTGATTAGCTGAATTAGTTGCTGCGGCGGCAGCAGCAGCTTGCTGCTGGAAAAGACTGGCAGGGTAGACTCCCCAGGGAGTAACTCCATAATACTGGTGAGGGACCACAGCTGGGCCTAAAAATAGCAAAGGAAAGGTAAAGAAAGTCTGAACTACTGAGGCTCATCTCAGGCTTTCCAAAGATTACATCTGACGCAACAGATCCTACTGTAAAATATTAACTTAAAAGTATATATTGATTTATGCTAGCTAATCATTAACTCTTTTTAAAGAACAGTAAACATTAGATGAGATCCTTACATCAGTCTTCTAATATAATCCAGGCCTAGAGGAAGAAGCAATGAGGAATGAAACATCAGAAAACTAAAAGGGGGAATCACTGATAGAAGGGGTTCGATTTAAGAACAGATGGAGGATGTAGGATAGACAGAGACAATATCTGTTGGTAGAAGGGAGTAAATGGAGGGTCTGTGTGCTTAAAGTGATGGAATAGAACAAAAGATTAGGTTGTATCCCAGGTTCAACGATAAGAATGGCACCTAAGGTGATTTAATAGAGCGCTGGTGTTTGATTAACTCTAGAAAAATGAACATCTATCAGTCTGACAACAAAACCCAGACATTCAACTGAACCTCCACTGCAACTTCAAAGTTTTTTTTTTCTTTTTTTTTGAGACAGGGTCTCTCTCTGTCACCCAGGTTGGAATGCAATGAAGCAATCTCAGCTCACTGCAACCTCAACCTCCTGGGCTTAAGCGATCCTCCCACTTCAGCCTCCCTAATACCTGGGATTACAGACGCATGCTACCATACCTGGCTAATTTTTTTTTTTTTTTTTTTTTTTTTTTTGTAGAGGTCTATGTTGCCCACGCTGGTGTCAAACTCCTGGGGTTAAGCGATCCACCCGCCTTGGCCTCCCATATTGCTGGGACTATAGGCTTGAGCCACCAGGCCTGGCCCTTATTTCTACTTTTAAAGTCACAAAGGCATTCAACACAACTACATTCAGACATTGCTGTGAAATTTTAAACTTAAGTCAACATTGAACACAAACAGAAACAAAAAATACAACACCTTGACTTGCTACAGATCTGCTAAGAACCTTAAACAAAATTAAGCATTCTCTGTAACCCCAGCACTATGGAGGCCAATGTGGGAAGATCACTTTGAGGTCAGGAGTTCGAGACCTGGTGAAACCCCATCTCTACTAAAAAAAAAAAAAAAAAAAAAAAAAATACAAAACATTAGCTGGACGTGGTGGCAGATGCCTGTAATCCCAGCTACTGGGAAGGCTGAGACAGGAGAACTGCTTGAACCCAGGAAGCAGAGTTCGTTGAAGTGAGCCAAGATTACACCACTGCACTCCAGCCTGGGCAACAGAGCAAAGAGTATGTCTCAAAAGAAAAAAAAGAAAAAGAAAAAGCGGCCGGGCGTGGTGGCTCAAGCCTGTAATCCTAGCACTTTGGGAGGCCGAGACGGGCGGATCATGAGGTCAGGAGATCAAGACCATCCTGGCTAACACGGTGAAACCCTGTCTCTACTAAAAAATACAAAAAACTAGCCGGGCGAGGTGGCGGGCACCTGTAGTCCCAGCTACTCGGGAGGCTGAGGCAGGAGAAGGGCGTGAACCTGGGAGGCGGAGCTTGCAATGAGCTGAGATCTGGCCACTGCACTCCAGCCCAGGCGACAGAGGGAGACTCCGTCTCAAAAAAACAAAAACAAAAACAAAAAAAAAACAAAAAAAAGCATTCTGCTTTAATCCAAATTATCTGTTCATTTTCTTTGGCAACAAAGTACAGTTGCAGTTGGCCACATAAAGTAGACAACAGAGATGTAACAAAGTTATGCAGATAACAACTTAAGTGTGGCAGAAATCTAATCATAGAATTCTATGACGAAGCTGGTGGCAAGAAACACCAAAGACACATTTGCTAACCAAGAAATGGGCTCAAAGCCAATTCTTCAAATCTGCTAAAACGTATCTCCAAGTTGGACTTCCTTAAAGCACAGAGTTAAATACTTCCAACTTGATTCATTAACAATAACCAAGCCTTACACTGAAGTTCTGAAGAGCTGTTTCAAATATTACAGCTACTATGATGCAACAGCTAATTCTGGAGAAACACATACTTCATTAAGCCAAAATAAATAGATACATATTCTTGTTTCCCCCATTTTAAGCTTCTAAAACACAAATAAGTCAAACTGTACCACTGCCCAATATAAATATGTTTTGACATTTCTAATTTGGTGTTTTCTATACCTGTGGGCTTAGAAAAGATTAAGAAGCTCTGTTTACAAGCAAGGGTGCACACTGAAACACTATAGCTGGGCACAGAATAAAGGTGCTGCTAAGAAAAGCTGTTACACTATGAAGTATTTTACTATAATAAGGAAAGAGGTTAAAACATTTTTAATTTGTCAGAAACTGAACAGCCTAAAAGCCACGTATTCAAGTTAAAAAAAAAAAAAAAGAGTGATAGAGCCTCATACTCATCTCATTAGTGTTTATAAAGCAGGGTGGTCTTGGGCAGTTAAAGAAAAAAATAAGAAAAAACACAAAAAAAGACCCTAAGTGTACCTTAGTTTCCTCACCTGTAAAAATGGGTAAACAGGTAGAGTGTACCTTAACCAAAGTGCTTGGGACCAAAGTGTTACAGATTTCAGACTGTAGACTATTTGTGTATGCAAGAGTTACCTTGGGGATGTGACCCAAGTCTAAACACAAAGTTCATTTATGTTTCATATATGCCTTATACACATAGCCTGGGAGTAATTCTACTTTTCCGTTGGGGATGCTGAATAAATGAACTGTGTGTTACGTGTCTGTGGTTTTGACTATGACCCATTACATGAGGTCAAGGTCAAGTGTGGAATTTTCCACTTGTGGTGTCATGTTAGTACTCAAAAAGATTTTGAATTTTCAGATTAGGGATGCTCAACCTGTAATAGACGTTGGGGGTACAGCCGTGTCTACCTTGAACGAGTGGTTACAACCTGCAATAATAGTCCCAACACTCTCCCAAACGCCAACAAAAGAGAAACTTTACTGGGCGAGGACTGCTATTACCATTAACATTTGCACTACTCTCTAAATTTTCTCAACTGGCATTTCTACTACTATACTGTGGTCACATGGCCTAAGGTTAAATTTAGGAAAACATCCCAGGGCAAATCAACTGAGCTTGGCACATCAGGCACCCTCTAAGAATACACATATTCATAGTTTGAACAGTTAACATTTCCTGTTATTTGTGAAAGTATTAACTCATTTTCACCCTGGCTCAACTGACAAATACAAAAAAAAGATTCTCACCACCAAAATACCATCTCAGTGACAGCAGCAGTGTCAACCCTAAGATCAGTTCTTTGTTTCAAATAACATAAATTAGTAGAGGAAAAGAATTCTAAAAAAAGTACAGAAAAGACAATTCAAGACAGACAGCACAGGCATTCTATATACTATAGCGAAGCATAGGCATGGGCTTTGAAGTTAAACCTGGTTCAAACTCCAACTCTACAACATTTAAATTGTGTGACTTCAAATGAGACAGCTCTCTAGGTTGGGCACAATGGCTCACACCTGTAATCCCAGCACTCTGGGAGGCCAAGGCGGGTGGATCACTTGAAGTCAGGAGTTTGAGACCAGCCTGGCCAACATGGCGAAACCCCATCTCTACTGAAAATACAAAAATTAGCCAGGCATGGTGGCAGGCACCTGTAGTCCCAGCTATTCAGGAGGTTGAGGTGGGAGAATCACTTGAACCCAAGAGGCAGAGACTGCAGTGAGCCGAGATCGCACAACTGAACAAGAGCAAGACTCAGTCCCCCCCACAAAAACAAAACAAAACAAAACAAAACAAAAAAACAGAAAACAAAAAACACAACTAACAAGGCAGCTGTCTGATCCACAAATTTCTAATCTCTAAAATCATCATCTGACAAATCATATGAAAGAAAAGCATTCAGGACAATGCCTGAGAAAAGTTAAGTGCTCAATAAATATTAATGATGGTTAGCACAGATCATTCTCCTATGAAGAGCTTTCTGTTTTCCCCAAAAAGGGGGATGACCACAGACAGACAGATGACCCTATGTTAACTATGTTCCTATCATAACCATGCCAAAATGTAAACAATGTTTTTAAAAATCTAAGAAATGCTAGGCTACATTTAAGTTCATAATTGCAAATTATATGCTACATATTAAGAAATAAAATTTCAAAGCAATATTTAGTCATGGTTAACCTGACTTGGAGGGATCTTCCCCCAACGAATATCTAAACTGGAAGACACTGTGTTTGTTCTAATGCTGAATTCAATCCATCATACATTTATGGCCCCACTATGGTGACGGTAAATGTGCAACACAGAGTCAAATAACAAAGATGCCTGTCTTTTAAACATCTAGTCTCAAGGGAAAGAAAAAAACACTCATAGGCTGGGCACAGTGGTTCACACCTGGAATGCCAGTACTTTGAGAGGCCAAGGGAGGAAGATTGCTTGAGCCCAGCAGTTTGACACAACACCAGCCCAGGCAACACTGGCGAGACCACCCCATCTCTACAAAAAATTTAACAATTAGCTAAGTGTGGTGGTGCACACTAGTACCCCTAGCTACTCAGGAGGCTGAGGCAGGAGGATCCAGTGAGCCCAGGAATTCAAGGTTACAGTGAACTATATTCACGCCACTGCATTCCATCCTCGGCAACAGAGTGAGATCCTGTCTCAAAAAAAAAGAGAGAGAGAGAGAGAGAGAGAGAGAGAGAGAGAGAGAGGGAGAAAGAGAAAAAAAAACTCATGTATACATCCCACAAGCAAATAAAAACAGTGCAGTAAGTAGCCAGCTAGGGCACTTCACAGGCAAACAATGGGAAAAAGAGCTTACTACAGAAGACCACAGTGTCCAATGACAGGGGCCTAAACCAATGCAGTATCTTCAGCAAACTAAAATCAGATCTGTATTGCTACAATGTATGGTGTCAGCCAATGGCAGTCAACTAGGAAGGGAACTGGGTGGTACACATGTAGAGACCTGTATGAGGCATGGTGATAGAGCCCTATATGCTCTGGGTCCCAACCCTAGTTAATCCACAGAATTATCTGGAAGCTCCTTAAAAATACTGATTTCAAGGAACAAAACACCACCACCCCCACCCTGACTCCAAGTAAGTTGTAATGATCAGCCATGTTTGGTAATAACTGTAGTATGCCATATTAGGGTAGAAAAAAGGGAAATCAATAAAAGGTTTAAGCAGAAAGATGATGAGGTAAGATGTAAGTCTGAAATCATTTTCTTGAACAATTTAGAGGGGAAAAGGAAGTGAGAGAGGCAAGGTAATTAGAAATTTCCACATTAGAGACCAATAAAAGTACCTGAACTATATGATAGACCTGAGGTGGTAGGAGATCTAGGCAAGGGGAGAAATTCCCAAAATATAAATGAGCATCTGGTGGCTCCATGGATCAAAAATACATATGCAAGCGGTAGGTGATTAATTTGCCTTTGAACATTTTCAAGTCCGAGGGGCCTATGATACTGCTATGGAGAGATATTAAGCTGGTAGGTAAATGGCACTGAAAATCTGGATGATCTCCACTGGAGACACAGATTTGAGAAAGAGGATAAAGAATGCAAGCCCATCTCAAATGACTTTTCAGCAGGTGAGAAAATCCCTCATGCAGCAGAATGTCTCACCTAGTGTCGCTGCTGCAGCCAATCCAGCTGTGTAGGGGTCCGTCCCTGGGGGAGCAGCGCTGATGATGTATGGATTGGGGACAAACGCAGCGGGAGCTAAACCTGCTGAAAACATACCTGTCAGTAAAAACAAACTTGACTAAAACTGCAGCCCTATCAAATACCTACACAGTTTGGCTATTCACTTCAGGTTGTAGATAAGGAAAAAAATGAAAAAAGAGAAGACGGGACAGGTTGAGGGTAAAGAGAAATTTTAAAAAGGTAACTGCTATACTAAAGATTATAATGAAATGTTTATAGAGTTAAATTTCACCTTTGCTAAAGAAATACTTAAAACTGTATATACAGTTTTAAATTCAGCATAATTTCTAAAAGATTATTAAAATTATAACAGCCTACAATAGAACAATTTTAAAGACTTATATTAAAATGGGATGAAGTATTTTTACTTAAAATAATTTTACAAACAGTTTTCATGAAATAAAATCTATGGGTATTTATAAAGATTACCATCTACAACTATACATTATCAGACCCAAGGACTTTATGCCTGGCCTTTATTTATTTAGGTTGGAAGTAAGTATATTCTTCTATAGCTTATCACATCCAAGATTAGCTATCTCCTTTCTACTCAATCATGCCATTTTGACATATTAAAAAAAAAAAATTCTACTTCTACTTGTTTACACTTAATGCACTCTATTTCTAAGAGACCTTAAGAAGGTCCAGGGGGAAGAAATATCTAGGCAGTACGATGAAAACGTCGCTCAAAACTTTAACTAAACTGTTCCAGGAAAAGGGCAAAGCTACTTTAAAACCAGTAATTATACGAGAATACTTTTAAATTCTTTCAATGCATACTGACTGGAAAATGGATTTATACTGTTTTGCTCATAAAATGAGAGGCTGATAGTCTATAGAACCACAACTTATTTAATCAATGTCATCCAAATCTTACCAAAAGAGCTAATGGTAGTCACCAACCGCTATTGTGATAAATACTTTAAATCCTCAAACAGCTGAGGTAGGGCAATGGGTGAAGACTGAAGAAATCTTATGATGTGGGTCTACAAGCAATGTCAAAAATAATGTGGCTAGAGAGACAAGGACAAAAGGAAGAGGCCACTTACTCTGTCTGAGGGATTTGTCTGAACTTTTAGAATCAGTTTAAATTACTGGGTTTCACAGCAACCAGTTATCCTAAAATGGTGGCCACACCTATCATGAAAGAGCTATGGGCTTAAGGACTTACCGATGTGCGGCTGATGAGCAGCTGCCAGTGCATACTGCTGCTGCTGAGCAGCTGTCAACTGCTGGACAGCAAGTGCATTAGGTCTTTGGAACAGCTGAGGCAAGAGGAAAAACACGGTGTGGTTAGGGAAACTGTCTTACAAAATCATTTAAAAACCTCTCTGACTAAAAATTTTAATAAACACTTGTTTAGGCATGATAACAACAACAAATGTTCTCATACTCTATTTCATTCCCATGGGATTAAAATGTTTCATAGTTCTGTTCTCCCTGTCTCTCTTTCTTTACTTCAATTTGCTGTGCCCTGGTTCCATGAGCTGCCCGCTTCACAGATTATATGTCCCCTGAACCACAAACACACTCTCTCTCTCTCTCTCACACACACACACATGAGATATCTATATATAGATATCGATACAGATATAGATATCTCATATATGTGCATGCAAAAGCCCTAAAGGTTATCAGGTCTACAGGTCTTGCCTGATCTAAGGCAAAGTTAAAAATTAGACAACTGATTTGCCACATTGCCCCTAGTGCTGAATCTCCTTTCAAGAGCCCACAAATAACTGAATTAATCCTCACCTACTCACATTTTGGAGAAGAATATGAAAAGTGTTCACTTCATCCTCCCAGCTGTCTCATTCCCAAAATGGTATTGAATAACTTCCTCAACTAGTAGCTTATCCTAATGAGTAAATTAGACACCTGCCCAACTTTCGGGCGCTCCAGAGTCTTCTGGGATATTATTCTTTGTATATTGAAAATAAAACAGCAGAAAACAGCAGCTACTAACAAAATTTGGATTATGAGCTCACACCTAGCATACTTCTTAATTCTAAAGAAAAGAAAGCTCAAAGGCCTTAACAACACTAAGAATGTCTTATGATTAATACAAAATCAGTCATTCACTCATTAATTCAACAAAAATTTATGAAACAAATGATACCTGCCAGGCACTGTGCAAGGAACTAGGGATACAACTAGTGAATGAAACAATACATAATCCTGCCCTGATGGAGATTACTTTAGTATGAATAGTATTGGTACAAAGAAAAAGGATGCCAGTAACCTGATTTGTGGTTCACCTAAACGGGCCTCCTTCCACGGAGTCACACTGAAGACTTCAGTGATTGCTAAAATCAGACTGAAAGCACTTACTGAAGGGACCTCCCTGGATAGGACCTTCAACCTACCTGCTCTTCCTACAGGATTTTTCAACAGCTCAGCTGACATTGCTGGATGATGTATAACAGACACCATGGATCTTGAATTACAGATGTCCTCATAAAGAGACCTGATTGTTTCAGACATTAGGAGATAATGTCATTCTACCAACTCAGCTTAATCACTGTCATGACTGGACTTACTCTTATCTTAGGTGACGGAGAGATTTTACCCTGAGATTTGGCTACTCTCTACACCTCAAACATGAGGAGGCTAATTTTAGATTAAAAGAAAACAAAAAGTGAATACTTTGAAGGTACTGGCCAATTTCACCTGTTAGCTCTCTAGTCTTAGTCTCTGCTTTTGGAGTATGAATGTCAAAAGTAACCATGCACAGATTTCAAAAACACTTTTTTTTTTTTTTCTCAAAAGTTAAAGAAAAACTTCATTGTGATGCTGGTAAAAAGGAAACAGTATTACTAAATATCAAGTCTTAAAAAGAAATAGGGGAAATGAATCTACTGACAGACATTATCAAAACATTTGTCCTCCAGGAAGGGAGTCAGAGAAGACTATTTGGTAACAGTGTGCTTGTGATTTCTGCAAGTTGGTTTCACATTTCTGTCTTACTAAAGATGTGCTCACACAGTATTCCCTCCAACAGGAGGCAGTCTACCCAAGAGGGGCAGCCAGGAGTGGGAAAATAAGTAAAACAGTAGAAAGTTACTTTTAAATTATTTCCAAGGTTGTGAAAACATCTCATAGTTCCACTAAATATGTACTGTCTCTTCAATGGGTTTCTGGAATTTTCTTGTCCTAAAACCTTTTGCAACATTTAACATATCAGGCACTGCTTGTGCTAGCTTCTTCTCTCTACCCTTCTTCGCCCTACTGAAAACAAAAGAATTCATTTCATTCAACAGATGTTTTTTGAGCACCTATTATTAAGTAGGTGCTATGACATGGAACTGGGGAAATAAAGACAGAATGCTCAGAACACAACTCTTAAGGGTATCTCGATTTATTAACCAAAAACAGTAGTCCGCTGCCATTCCATCTGACTTAACCTCACTGCATATATTTTTGTTGTTTGAAGAGTCGAAGTCTTACTCTGTCTGTCACCCAGGCTTAAATGCAGTGACATAATCATGGCTCACTATAGCCACAAGCCCCTGGGCTCAAGCAATCCTCCTGCCTCAGCCTCCAAGTAGCTGTGCATGCCACCATGCCTGGCCAATTTTTTTTTTTTTTTTTTAACTTTTTTGTAGAGATGAAGTTGCTCAGGCTGGTCTGGAACTCCTGGGCTCAAATGATCCTTCCACTTTGGCCTCCCAAAGGGCTGAAATTACAGGTGTGAGCCATCACACCTGGGCTATATATTTTTTAAATATTATATGTAAGTCATTTTATGTATGTGTACTATAGCTGTAAATATACATGGAAATACATGGCATGTGGGAATACCACAAAAGTAATCATTCCACGTAACACTAGCTTGTGGTAGGTTTTCATCATATTAAAACATTTTGAAAGCAGGAACTACTTTTAACTAAAAGCAAACAAGACTTACAAGAGACACCATATAGCCTATGTTTGAGAGCTGATTAATATCTTAGTAATTATGGTGAATAGAAAAGGATTTTCTTGAGACCATTTTGCAGTAAACAACTTAACAAAAGTAAATTGTACATCTATAGCAGACAGATTTGATTACAGAATAGATTACAGCAATTTTGGTACATTCTCTTTATGTAAATGGTGCAATATTAACTGGAAATACAGAGTATTCAAAACAAATTGGGTAATTGGCAAGTGACAGATTCCAAAGGATCCTGAAAAACTCACATAAATGCCATCTGCTGGGCGAAGCATTGAGCTCTACTAACATTTTCATGTTTTTCACAAAGCAGGCTAATATCCCATAACTGAGAAACAAAATACTGTGAGAGTTGGGGGAAATGCTTAAAGGTCAGTATAATGATAAATGTGATGCTGTTAATTATAATTCACATGGGTAGATTTCACAAGTTGTTCAAGAGTCTGAATGCTGGGGAAAATGGATCATCTACTTCAAGCATATCAAGGTTCCTAATAAATACTGAAGGCATAGTTTAAGAAGTAGACAAGCTGGTTTGCCTCCTTTCTCTGTCACTTACTATATTAAAAATACTCTATAGGGCTCTTATTCCAGAAAGGAATCCAGGCAGCCAAAAACACCCAATATAGTGACTGACATGTAGTTGGCATCTTATAAAAGACAGCTACTACTATTATTACTGTTGTTGTTATTGACAGCAGTTGCTAACATAAAAAATTATGGCGTTTTCTAAATCTGGAGGAGTAATGTCTAAATAAGGAGTCAGTAAATGCAAAAGACTACTCAGCCCCGCTCCCCTGCTGGCCACAATAAAATGTACTGCCAGCCCTGACTTTTTTTTTTTTTTAACCAGTTTGAGACTATATACATAGTAGACAAGGGTTAAGAGCACTGACTCTGGAGCCAGACAGCCTTGGTTTCTATCTCAGCTCACCAGTGACTTGCTATGTCACCTCTGGCAAATCGTTTAATCTCTCTGTGCCTCATTCTCCTCTTTAATATGACGATAAAGATATATGTAACATGGCAGGTTGCTGTGGGGATTAAAATTAACACATGTAAAGTATTTATAAAAGTCCTTTATGTGTGATGTTCTTTCTGATGAATAGGGAGGACACCCCCAACAGACTCAGCCCTTCTGAGAGTCACCCTTTACAGTTCCTTCCCAGAGCCAGGCAGCCCAAGCAGACCAAGAGCAGAGGGCGGGACTCCTCCTAGTCTGTATTAAGAGTCAAAATCGGCCAGGCACAGTGGCTCACACCTTTAAAGCTAGCACTCTGGGAGGCCAAGGCAGGTGGATCACCTGAAGTCAGGAGTTCGAGACCAGTCTGACCAATATGGAGAAACCCCATCTCTACTAAAAATACAAAATTAGCCGGGAGTGGTGGTGCACACCTGTAATCCCAGCTATTCCGGAGGCTGAGGCAGAAGAATCGCTTGAACCTGGGAGGTGGAGGCTGAGGTAAGCCGAGATCGCCATTGCACTCCAGCCTAAGCAACAAGAGTGAAACCCCGTCTCAAAAAAAAAAAAAAAAAAAAAGAGTCAAAATCTCACTGCCCCAGGACCACCAGCTGCTATCAGTGGGTCACAAAGATAACAGGAAAGAAAGAAAACTATTTTTGTTTTAATGGATGAGTGCTTTCTGCATTATACTACTTTAAGAAGAAGCTATATAGTTGAATTTGACGGTGAGACAATTCCACCTATTAGAAGGCTCTGCGTTTCTAACACAAAGTCCAAAGGAAACGGCCTGAAGCTAGAAACCAAAATAATAGCTATTTGCATTGCTTGTATTAGATGACCTTCAAACAAGTCCCTAAACTTCACTGTTTTTTCTTTTTTCTTTCTTTTTTTTTTTTTGAAACAGACAGAGTCTCGCTCTGTCCCTGAGGCTACAGTGCAGTAGTGTGATCTTGGCTCACCGCAACCTCCGCCTCCCGGGTTCAAGCGATTCTCCTGTCTGAGCCTCTAGAGTAGGTGAGATTACAGGTCTGCACCACCACACCTGGCTGATTTTTGTATTTTTACTAGAGACGGGGTTTCACCATGTTGGCCAGGTTGATCTCAAACTCCTGACCTTGGGTGATCCGCCAGCCTCAGCCTCCCAAAGTGTTGGGATTACAGCCATAAGCCACCGTGCTTGGCCTCTTATGTCTAAAAATAAAATAGCTGCCCTACCTCATGGGGTTGTTTTCAGAGTTCACAGAGAAAATCCCTTCAAAACAGTAAAAGCACTATATCAATGATGGGATTCTAAAATTTTAAGAAAAAGGTTTATTTTGGAGTCATTCCTTGGCATATGAAATTTGTGAAATCTTATTACTTGAAGC